CACTGCTGTCTCTCTCACTGCCCATCGTGCCCAGTCGCTGTCTCTCTCACTGCCTGTCGTCCCCAGTCGCTGTCTCTCTCTCTCACTGCTGTCTCACTCCCTCACTGTCTCACTCAGTCATTGCCTCAATCGCTGTCTCATTCATTGTCTCGCCCTCTGACTGCCTCAGACCACTGAGGTGGGTGGAAATGTGTTTGGCCCACTGGCCAGTAAGGTAGCTAGAGCAGAGCAGCTGGTTGGTCAGTCAGTGGTCAGTTGGCAGCTGACCTGGGTGAGAGTTTAGTTCCAGAGAAGGTGTGGATGCTCGGGGGTGGGGCGATGTGACTGTGGACCGGGGAGGTGGCCGGTGCCGGATTGCTCAGGGTCTGTAGTCAACGGGCTCCTTACAGATTGCGATGGCCAGTATTCTGCCACAGCGGGACTGACGGTGCGTTGTGTTCTTTTCTCGTCCTTCTGACGGCGCCCAGGTTCAATCAGGGACGCAGGATGCGGGAGACAAAGTAAGTGGCAAGACTCTTCCGGCTGGTCTAACCGCATCAGGGGTTTCTCGTCCCGGGAAAAATCCAAAATACTTTTGGCACTTTTTCCTGGTCTTCTGCAAACCAGGGGAAGCCAGTGTGAACCCCCTTTCAAGCAATGGGGGTGCAGGAGCCCTGTTCAGTGAGCTGAATGGCCAAGACGCCCGAGCTCTCCTGTGTCGGGGGACGGAGTGGCGACAGCGCGTCGTCACAGGCAGACGTGAGAAAAGAGCGCAGCGGTAGAGGCGAAGCACACGCCACCAGGCACGTTCCTGCTGCACCGCTGTGATTTAGAGGATCCATAGGAAAATGAGTTCAGCTTGTAGGAAACAGTGAGCAAGCAGAGAGCCTGCCAGACACTCACAGAACGCCCGAGAAGCCGAGAGCTTGAAAACCTGAAACGTCTTTTCTAAAAACAGCTTGAGGTTGCTCCAGTGTGACTTGACACAAGCTCTCTGGGTGGCTGAAACTTTTTTTGTTAATTGCATTTTTTTTTCTTTTCACCAATGATGCATATGTAGAAGTGATTATGAAGTTCCTGTTCCCACATGGAGGATTGGAATTGTCTTTAGTTTTTTGCTGCAGGGAGTCTTCTGCTGCCATTGATCTCCGTCTCCAGTGAATCAGACAAAGTAATAGCAGATAATTCACCTCTCATCCGCCGGTCTGCTCCCCCCGTCTCAAACTTTCAGCAGTGATGATGGAATTTGACTTGTGCTACAACCCCACCTGCTGGTCCTGAGCTGTAAATACACCTGCTGTTAACATGAAGCTCTGGAATCAGATCAGATCACTTTATTAGCCATGTACAATTTCTTGCATTAGGAATTCTTCTTTTTTTCTCATTCCTCAGCTTGCTCTCCATGAGACACACAGACAGGGAGAGAAGCTGGGGGTCAGAGGGCAGGGTACAGCACCCTTGGAGCAGGCTCTTAAGTACTCCAAAGTACTGAACCTTTTTAGCCCTGAACAGCGAAGACTACAAGGGCACTTGATTTAAGTACTCAAAATCTTCAAAGGCCCTGACAAAGACAAAGTCAACCCATCGGACTTCTTCAGAATGAACTGTGACACATGAACCGGAGGACACGAGGAAGCTAAGTGGATCCAAGAGTAGGAATCTCTTCCTTACACAAAGGGCTTATGGAACAGGATACCAGGATACCAGAACAGGATACGGAAACAGCTGGATGATATCCTTGGTTTTAATTAGCTCCTAGCTATCAAAGAAACTAAATGGGATTTGAAACCGTTCCTATGTTCTGTCTAGAGGTGTTAGATTTGTGACTTGGGATGTCTGGGGAAATGTGAGTGAAAGGTGTGTTTTCTGTTTTGTTCCTCAGTGTGCCCCTTGTGTCCAGGTGAACCAGGAGCAGAGAGTGAGTACAGCCCTGCAGCACTGCTCTAACTGAAGCAGGCAGTGTGATCCGATTCTGTGAAATAATTAACCTTCTTTCAATCTATTGTAGGGTTCAGCTGTTCACAGTGTTTTTGCTTTATTAAGTATGTACTGTTTAGCTGTAGAATACTGCAGATCTTTTAAGTTAAAGCCTATGATATTCCCTTCTTGATCTGGTTTTCTTATGGAAGGTTGTTAATGCAAGATGATGCCAGAAATTAGATCCATTTTTGCAGTGTACCCTTGTCCCCAAAAGCAGCGTGAGGATGTGCTGGTCTGGGGGTTCCTCTGTCCAGCACCGTTGCCTGCTGCTGTCTGACTCTTTCTCTCTCTCTTTCAGGACGAGAGCGCTCCCTACAGGATCCAGGCCAGTCTGACAGCCGCTGCACCGCACACAGAGCAATAATGTTGAATTCGTCTCCTAATACCGAGACTGACTAAAACAAAAGATTTGTTTTGTAGACGTGTTGTATCTGTCTGTCGTGGTTTCTCCCTGCCTGGCTGTGACCACTGAGACCTGTGTGTCCAGGGGCTTGTCTGGCCGGCAGTGACCGTGACGCTCCGTGTCTGTGTTACAGGCTGAGAAAGGAGACCGGGGAGCTCCAGGGTTTCACGGCTCAAAAGGAGAGAAAGGAGAACGGGTACGAGAAACTGGGCTGTTCAGACTTGTTTGTGCGCAAGAGCTCATTTTCCAGTACAGAAGTATAGTCTGTTTTGGATCCAGGCGACACTGAGTGTACTGCCTTCTCCTCTCTAGACAGTGTTGCGTGCAGGCTTGTCATAAAGACATCATCAACTGGCTTCAATACACCAGGGTCTCAACATTCACGAGGATTTGATGCAGAGAACAGTCAATAGCCAAATTCCCATATAACCCAGTCCACCCCATACCATCACATAATGTACTACAGTATACAGTCTGTGTGGATAAAAGACATAGGTAACCCTCCCTTATATGATAATTAAAGTATTAATGCATTGGCTTTAATTTCATTAACATAATATTGATCAACTAAAAGAAACGAGTAATCATGCTGTGGCTTCTTGGGCAGGTGGCAGGGAGAGGCCCACTTAGCTACTGGACTCGTCTCTCCATCCTAGCCCCTTGTGCCACTGATTTGAAAGGTGCCGTTAATAAGCTTCAGCTCAGTTTCACCTCTCTGTGTTCTACTATCTCCAAATTTGTAAAAGATTTTGAGACCCTACTGTTTTTCAAAACCCAGCTGCTGGAATCTTAACCTGATCCATGTCCCACATGACATATCACTCCTGGTCTAGCCTCCCTGCATTTGTTCCCGGTGTTACAATACATAGGATTGATTTGTTGCTTTGGCTGCAAGGCACTTTGAGAAACTTGACATTTGACATAAAATCATTATGACCTGAACCCTAACATAAGGAAATGACAAGCTGAATTAATATGACTATGCCTGATGTGTTTGGATTTTTAAACAGACATTAAAGTCACCTAAATTATTTCTCCACATTACATGACCTGTATGTTGTTGTATCTGAAAGGGTAGATTGTTTTTGACATTTTGCTACTTTCCTTTTCTAATCAGGGTGCAGACTGTGTGGGAACTGAGGCTGGTTTCTCAGGCTCTGTAAGTACACGCAGTCCTTGTTTCTTCCTGAATGCGTCCGTCCTCGATACCATTGGAAAGTGAGGGAGAAGGGCACCCAAGGAAAGGCAGGTCTGCTGCCAGTCCTGTGTGGCAGTGCTCTCTGCCTTTGCTGCAATGTGGACATGCAGGCTGAAATGCGTCCTGGACAGCTCAGCTTGCCGTAGTTTGTCTGCTCGGAGTGAGCTGTCACCCCTGTTTCTCTTGCAGTGTTCGGAGGGACCCAAGGGAGAGAAGGGAGCGAAGGGCGAAGTGGTGAGTCACCCTGCTCTCTGTGCACTGAGAAACACCCAGAAATCTCTTCTCACCCCGGTGTAGTGGCGGTCCAGCACCCTCACTCCTGGTCCTGGGGGGCTGCAGTCCACCAGGGTTCACAGGGGACATCTAGACCTCACGGATTGCAGAACTGGAAACAGGTCACTAGCCAGTTAGGTGACCAGATGGTTCCAGTCAGGTCATTAGGGGTCCCCTTGGCCCTCTGGGACCAGGAGTGAATACGAGTGCTCGGGCCAGCTGTTCTCGGACATGGGTTCGAGACCCGAGGAGACAGTTTTGCAGTTGCAGGGAGTCGCGCTCTCCTTCTGTGTTCCTTGATCGTTACCTGAAGGGCAGGACCTGAGACTGGGATCATACTGAGATTCTTCCTCTTTGACTGTTTCTCAGGGTCCTGCTGGGATTGGGGCACCAGGATTCAAGGGCTCTAAGGTAGACAGCACGGCTCTCCCTCTCCTTGATGAAGACCTGGATACTGCATGTGAAGAGATGCATGTTACAGATTCCCCCCACCTCTCGCTGATAATAAGCCCTGGGGATGTCAGAATACTGCTGGTTTGCGGCGTGTGTCTTGACCGTGCTCATCTCTCTCCTCTTCCCTCATTCCCTCTGTGCTTCAGGGGGAGAAAGGCAATAAAGGGGATGGGGGCCAGCAGGGTGTGGCGGGGACCCCAGGGAAGGACGTGAGTATCCCCGACTTTCTCTGCTTTTCATCAAGCCATCTCACTCAGGCATGTTGCACCTTTCCCACTGCCTGGAGAGGCATGTACCCACTCCGCCACACAGCTAGCACAGGCTTCTGGGCTACTGGGCCCAAACAGAAGGCAGGAGGCTGGAGGACAGATAGGTCCTGTAGATGGACAGACGGAGGATTGATCTTCTGCTGAACAGAGAAGAAACGGCCCAAAAGAATATTTAGGATGCTGATGCTTTAATTCCTAGATCATCTGGGGGACAGATCGGGGCCTGGCGTGGGCTTCATTCCAAGCCCGCCCCGAGGCACTGGGACTTTTCTGCGTAGCCCAGCTCTCAAGTCCAGCAGCACTCCTGCCTCTGGCTTGTGGTCGGTCGTTCAGTGCTCTGCAGGTCAGGCTCTGGCGTGAAGCCCTCCTCACTGCAGGATCCGCCTGATGCCATATCGATTGAGACAGAGTAGCTGAGCTTCGGTAAATCAATGGAAATGCATTGACTGTGCAAATAAAAAAAAAGTTAGCTTATTAAAGGAGATTGAAGCTGTTTAATCTTTTCAAGCACTTGGCCATAAAGGCAAGGTTACAGCTGAAACTGAAATAATGAAATTCTTGTGCCTTGTAGTGATTTTGCTTGTGTTCAGATGATGTATCTGAATGAAGTAGTTTTTAAAACATGTAGATCAGGGAGTTTCTCTGCATTTTGAGCTGATTTCTGTGTTTGCACAAGTAGTATATTATATGTGAACGATTTACAGCATCTGCTTTGATAAAGAATAATACACAGTAGTCTAGCGATCAGTGGGTTTAGCTTCATAATATCGTCATTCATTCCGCACTTCATTTAAACTTTCCAGTGCCGAGGGGTGTGTGTGTGCAGTGGGGTTCAGGGGTGCTGTGGGGTGTGTGTG